GGTAAGAATTTTGGGGAGGTTAAATCACTTTTAGATACTTACAAAATTAATAAGGACTGATGAATACTTGATGTATTCAGTCATGCATAATTATGCACGGATTAATATTCTTTGTTTACTTTTAAAGCACATCTGAAGCATTACAAAGGTTTAGATATTGAGTGTAACTAGGCATCCCTAAAAACCAGGTACACCATGAAGTGTGACTCGACCGGACTACTGTTCATTCACTTTTCCTCTTAGTAAAACTCTTCTGTGAATTTTAATGAAATGATATTAAACGGGGAAGATCGGCTGCTCTTGATTCCTAGGCCTAAAACAGACTTGCTCGTATGGCACGATTAACAAATGCTCTTGGTACACGCAGCTTTAACTAGCAGAAAAGTGTTAGTGGTCAATGATGTAACTTAGACAAGTTTCCTATACAAAAGAAAATAACGTGGTCTAAGCCGTTTCTGTGTTGAGGCCTTTGTTGCTTTGGAACGTTGCCATTAAAAGAAACGGCACAATCTCATGCGTAACCAGCAACGCTATACCTGGGGGACCTGAACTTTGAATTGCTTTTTACTTGTGTGCTCTCTTAGCTCCCATCTATGCTTAATTACTAGTTTTGTTCCGACTGTGTAATGTAGTCTCCTGCCAGAGGGGGCTGGGTAAACGGATTTGACCAAGGAAAAATGCGAATGCGCTCCTTCGTCATCCAAAATACTTCTGCAAAACTTCCTCAGAAATTCCAAGGAGAGAACGAATGATTTGCTGATCACTCGTAAACGTGTTTCTTGTCCAGGTGATTCTGCTTGGGTGCCTCCCTGGTACAGTTCCCTGTATTTAGTTTCTCTGGTTTGGCTGTTCAGCCGGCTTGTTTCAATTTGGCAACAGGACCAAAATGATGAACCGAGTCCTGAGTGGGCAGGCGTAAACAAGGCGAAATTGTTTGGAAGTAGAGTGCATTGCACAACAGCAGCTTTCATAAACAAAGTGACACGACACGTTAAAGTGCCTGAGCCCATCAGTGGCGAGAGCAAATGGCTTTCCCTCAGTCCTAACACCTTCATGGCATTTTCTTCTGGTGGCACTGGGCCTTCAAATGAAGAGTGCGGTTGTTTCAGCCAGACAGCTTGCGTAAAGTGGTACCGTGTGAACTACCTAATGAAGGTCTAGAGACAAATGTACATCTTGTCATGACCTTTGTGTTGCTATTTTATTTTTAGAGACATTTATACTCTTTGCAAACTACTACTAATGGTTTACCTCAAATCGGAAATGTGCTTTTATTTGTTTAAGGCAGAAAATAAAATACTCTTGCATAACAGTGGTGTTTGTTTTTATTTACTGCAGCTAAATGTGACATTTAATCCTCCCCCAATGTTTCAAGTCTTATATTGCCTTTCTCCAATATCTTGCATTATCCAACGCATAGATTGAATACATGTTCTAGCTGAATGCCTGTAAATGCGGTTCTGTATTATAACTTCAACAGAATATTAAATAGAGAACACGTTCATGTTGTGTAATACGCTTTGCTGTTGCAAAAACAGAGTTAGGCATAAAAAGGCCCAGGTAATTGTTAACACGGAGCAAAAGCTGGAGCTTTGGAAGCCGGTCATGTAGCGGAACAAGGCGAGGCTGTAACCCGCCCTTCAGTGGACCCAACCATCTGACTCTTAGTTAGTCCACAACATATCCTGAGGAACTGAGCACTATTTTAAGTATTAATCTGTATGTTACAAAATGATGCATCACAAAGAATAATGATAATAAATAAAAACTACTCAGAAAACTGGCAGTAACACAAGGTAAAGCTGAATGTTAAGCATCCATGCCTCTCGGGAGGGAAGTACTACACTGTGGTAAGGCCACTACTTTTTCAGAGAAAACAAGGGAATTTATTGTGAAAGGGGAAGAAGTGAATCACAAAAGCAGCGGTTTCATGACGCAGCAGGCACAGATTTTATTTTCTTCTAAAGTGCTGGGGAAAATGGACTGGTTTTAGCTTCTTTTTTTACTTTGTTCATTGCAACCTGATCCCTTCCTTCACCAGCAACTGGCTGCAGTGACCAAGCCAAAAGAACCATGCCACGTAGCTTAACAGACTGTGCATCGACCGAGTAGGACACGGTGACCAACTAAGAGCAGAGAGGGACAGCAGTCTCCCTCATCTGAAGCATCCAAACACCCGTGACCGGTGTGTGCCACGAAGGCGTACGCAAGGAGCTCTGGGACAAATCAAAACAATCAAGTAGCATCTCATTTCCAACTAGTTCTGGCATGCTGTCAGCTGCTTTCTAAAATCCAGATATTCTTTTATCTGGACTCTACCTGCCCTTAATCATCTTTATTAGCTCTTACTTGTGCTGTTTCAGTTAAACAAAAAAAGTTCAGTAATGAATGCCTATGTCGTGAGTTATGTAAAGGGTTTTACAAAAGGTGAGGCAATTTCTGCACGCTGTCCGGAATCTTTGGATTAAGAAGAAAGGGCTTTATATCATAATTGCTGTATTCTATTTCAAGCAGATGGACTGATGTAATAACAGGCATCGTGTATTCCTGCTTTAAGAACCGCCTGTAGGACTTTTAACTTCAGCATTCAGCATGAGGTACAACCAACTGGCCACGTGTGTCTGACAACAAGCTTAGTTCAGAGCGCTCCCCTGAGAAGACTCCTGGTCTCACCAGCTCTATTAGGAGCCATTTTCATTAGTTCCGTACGGCAAGTCAGACTTTTATTGCAAATCTTGCAATCTCAGGGCCCTACTTCATGCGTGTCAGAGTAAACAGTGTTTCCATAAAAAAAAAAAAACAAACAAGCCCTTGAAACACCAGCGGCGTACAACAGCACACGCCAGGCTCAAACAGAACAGTGTGAAATTATGCCAGCAATATTATACATTTCCATTGCTGAACTATATAAATGCTGCTTTTAATGCATCTTTTCACCTATTAAATGTTCTAATTGTCTAAACGTTCTGTAACTTTCATACTTGAGATGCAACATCTATTCCTGTAACTATTGAAATTTAATCTACAAAGCTGTGTATTTAAAAAGTTTTAAAGCAAGCTGTTATATGTATCTTTAAATTAGCCTTCAGGATAATAAACAAAATTATACTGAACAGTCCAGCATATGAAAGGATGGGGCTCACATTAAGTGTGTCGATAGGAAAAGTAAATAATTAACACCTGAAAACAGGTTCTAAATAATGCCACCTGTAAACAAATAGGAAACCCAAAAGTTCTGTTTCAGTATGCAGATTACAACGGTGTCTCACATTTTGAAGTGCACACATATTTTATTTACGAACAATGTTTTACACTGAATGAGGACTTGGAGATAGAGGATTTGCTTTATCAATTTCAATCAGTATCAGGGAATGCAAGAAACGATTACAGAACCGGTGAATTTATTTGTTACTGAATATTGTGACAATATGTTGATAAGACACTGGAAATTTACACCAAAGGAAATCTTTAGCTCCTGCTCCCCCAGACTAACAAAAAGAAATACTTCCTCACCCGTCATTGAAAGGCCTGTCTCATGGGAAACGGGGACTTACGCACACAGAACTGTCTATAGATTGACAGAGTTTTGTCATCTTTAATCTGCAAATTTGCATAGAGAAAAAACAGCCTTGGTATGTCCTATCAGTGCAACTGAAACATTTTACACAGTCAACAAATACAACAGTTGATCCTCATTATAACTGTATAAAATACTAAAAGAGGCTTAAGAGGGGCATAAATGTTCTCCAAAATAGTCAGAAAATATTTACGTCAAGAAAATAAGTTTTTAGATAAAAGTAATAGATGAACAGTACTTTGAGTAGCAACCATTTGTCATTCATGACCCTGAAAAGGCACTCAACATCTGAACAGAGAAGACTGATAAAACCTGGCTTAGAAGCCTGCAGGAATCGCCAGTGTTGAACACTGGGAGAAAGCCTATCTACCATGAACAATTACAATTTTTTTATTACTATTTATTAGAACATTAGTTACAAACATGGGTAAGATTCTATGTAATGAAGGCAACATCATCACATTAACTTAGTATATTGACATGTAATAAATAAAGCGTACTAAAATGAAAGCTGAAATAATCAGTGTATTGAACTTAGAACTGGTCCTCTATATCTTGCTAAGGGACTTTGTCCAAAAGCAATTGTGGCTGTCTTCTAAATATAGCCAGCTGAATAAATATGGATATAACTCAAGCTCCTATACTGTGTTTTCACATTTTTACCTACATGCAGCACAAATCTGACAAAACTTGACAATTCCTCTGGAAATTATTTGTATGCAAACTCATACTAAATAGCTACCTCACTGCACGTGCCTTCAAAAGGGCACATTTTGAAATCTTGTGAACAAATTTTCAGCCTGCCTGTATATGGGGACTGTCAGCACGCTGACAAGCAATGCCCTTTCACTATCTAACATTCAGAGCTTTGCTAAAACAATCATTTGGATTCCTGGAAGCACTACATCTACCACAAGTTCAGTGAAATCCGTCCTCCCAAAGACCAGCAAGTTTTCAGAAACACCTCTAGACTTCTAAATAGAAAACAAGCATTTTTCCAGTGTGGGTTTTACAGAAGACAGGATTTTTTTCATATTTGGAAATCTATTACTTCCCACAATTGAGTATAAATGTCACCCACACCTTCCAGTCCCATCATTTTAACAATCTGATTGAGCAGGCACTTCATATGCTTGCTCTAGGATTTACATAGCTGTGTTTTTTCCAATGACTCGTTATTACTAAATACTGTAACTTTGATATTTACATAGTTCCCTACATTTAATCAGAATATAACACTCTGAGATCTCAATCTGTAATCTTTCAAATTCTTAGCAACTGGTCCACGAAAGTTTGTCTGGCCCTGGGAAAAGTTTTGGTCCTCTGTTATGCAAAAGGCAAACACAGCTTCTGGTTTTGCGGCTCACTACACCAGTTACATATTCTAACCGAAAGAATTACCTAAGCAAAAAAACCCCAGTACTTCATATACCATTTAAGAGTCAAAGGGCTTTCTTCTCCCATTTCTATATAAAAAGAGCTATTACATAGTAGCTGTTTAGCATCCTCTTCTGGGCTCTGCTCCACAGAAAGTATCTGAGCAGGGGTTTGTCTGAATTAACTCAAGAGGAAATAGAGGGCATCCTCTGACATCTGCATCCATCTCTCTTCTCAACATTAATTTCCTCTCATCTCCTGTAGATAAGTATATGAAAAAGTTACTTGAAATGCGCTTGCTGGGGGGCAAGGAGGGAAAGGGTATGGGGAGGTAGCCGTAAGGTATCTGCCAACGAACGGAAAGCATAGTAAATTGTGAAAGGGCTGTGAGTAACAATAGCCAGAAACGGAGCAATCCTGTACGGAGATCAGATGACTACCTATATGTAAATTCACTAACTTCAGACAGTATTTCCCACCCAGATGTACGTGTCGAGTTGCCTAACAACGTTTTAGTTGTCTAAAGCATGTTGTTAGCATGCATGTTGTTATTCACAGAATAACCACCTATCTGCTAATGCCCATGACAGATAGTTTGCTATCCAATTAAGTAGGCAAACACTACTCTTCAACTGCAGCTGTGTGTAGTGTTTCTGAGCTAAACTGAACAAACCTTTAACTGCAGAGAAGTCGCATTATTTTTTACGCCACGTTTATACTCTTTAAAACTCTTTTTTAAAAACACTTACCGTTCATCGCCTTAAGAACTGTGGCAACTAACCTCACCTGCCAGAGACCTGTCAAATTCAGTCACCTTAGTTCTGGTGTCCCTCTTCCTCACCTGTCCGCTGGAGGGTCTCCTGAAGTGGCGAGCCATCATGAGGGGTAACATCTGATCCTGCCGTGGAGGTGTGAAGTGTCTTGAATTTCACTTTGTTGTGGAACATTTTCTTACATTTTCTTTGTATCTTTCTGAGCGACTCCAGCTGCATGCAACTGTCCGTCTCTGAAAAGCCACATTCATCAGATAAAAGATTAGAAGAAAGCTTTTTGCGCTTTTTCTTCATTTTGCAAGCATTTGTCTCCTCTTCCCCGGATCGTCTCTCACTTTTCTGTCCTTCATGTCTTAATTTACTACTGGACCTCTTACACGACTTTTTAAGCCTATGTTCACACTGCCTTGCCAAGCCCTCATGGACAGAATTAGAACAGAAGCTACATTTGCTGCTTTCCTTCTCTTGACCTTCCAGAGTTACATTTTTAAGGTAAACCAGTAATTTTTTTTCCCCAGCTCTTGCAGGCAAGCACCCTTTATTACAATTGCTGTAAATTTCTTCACACCTTCTTTCTGTTCCCTTCGCTGGGATGCTACGTGCCTCTCTAAAGTACTCGGAATCACTGATCTCTTCCAACAAATCCTTTAATCTGCAAGCAGATCTACATGTCTTGTATGGTACAGTACCTTCACTGCTACCACCTTCTTGTTTGAATTCCTTATCATGAGTAACAGCAGTGCAATCCAAAGAATGATTCAGTCCAGCATGTGGTAAGGTAGCAACAGTCAGTGAGTCATTCCTCTGCACTTGCAACTTTTTTGCAAACCTATCCCCACAGGCCTTGTTGTCTAACGCTCTGTCTGTTGACTTGAGTTCCCCAACAGTGATCACCAGTCCGTAATTGTCATCGCTACTACAGTTTCTCTGGTTGAGGTTTTGTAGAGGGCTCACTTCTCTGAAGTGCTGACCATGGTTGTTACTCAAGCTGATGCCAAGAACACTGTCATCATCAGATACCACCCTCTTCCACCAGCACTTGTTCACAGTGGGTTTTGGCTCTAAGCAAACACGCGCGTAGCGTGGTGTCTGATAGTAGTTTAGTAAATAATGGATGAATTCATCAGTCTCATAAACCTTTTGCTTTTTGCAACCATCTTCATCAGACGCTGTCCACGTGTGAACTATGTTCGATGTCGGGTAGCCCCTTCCATTGAGAGACTGGACGACCCTGCAGTCTTGCGTAACAGTAATCAGTAGAGACCCACGGCCAAAGGAGCTGCTTGCTTCTCTGCCAGGCAGTCCGTCAGAACTCCGGGCTGTCGAGGGATCGTTTAAAATCGTCCTGACTACATGACAAGTCGATGCATGGAAGTTACTCACATCTCCTTCCTCACTACATAAGCCGCTACCTTTTTGAGTTAACGGGCACTTAAACTCTTCCTTATGTTTCACCTCTTTGTGCGCGTGATAACGGGAGTTAATCAGTTCCTGATGTATGCCTTTTAATGCTGTTTCAGAAACGGAATTGTCCTTCCTTACACCCAATGAAGGATCCACTTTTTGACTTGCCAACTGTGCAAAATCCTTCAAATAAGAAAATCAGGAAAATGATTATGTACATTTATTGAGCACTATAAAGAGTGCTAAACTGCAAACTCATAAGCAAGCAGCCCCACAGTCAGAAGAATTTACAGGTGAGAGGTAAGTTTGGCTTAGTTCAGAGCTCGATCGTACAATCTCACTATTCCTAAGTTAGAACTACAGCTATTTCATCATCTCAGAAAGCTGCATTCTCAATTAAATAAGAAAGTGGTCCTTTCAGCCAATTCATCTATCTCACTGCAACTGCATAAGAAAATATTTATTCTTTGTTTGATCACAGCATCACAGCTAGTATTGCATGCAACAGTAAAATTACTACACTTTTGTAGATCGAACAGTTTATTTAGAATAAATTGCTTTGTTATACATTGTTTTAAATGGGTCCAAATACAATGAATCTAAAGCTTTCCAAGTGGTGAAACCAAGAAAATAGAAGTTTACTTAACACATCACCTTCATAACTCTCAGAAGGCCAGTGTCAGTTGTTATTAGGCCCTAAAAGTCAGGCAGAATGGCAAGGGTAGCCTCTGACTTCAACTCTTAGTAAATTATAGTCCTTTAGAAATCTTTAACATTAGGGACTGGGGAAAACATACACTTGCTAAAAGCTGCAAGCAAATTTTTACTTAGCTAATAGTGAAGACAAAGCCATGTTAGCACTCCTGAGAAATGAAAACCCTTGTTTTCATTTAAAACTTTTTTTAGCCCAAAGCACTAAAATAAACCTCCAAACATTAATCTGTGTGCAAAACATTCAAATTTTTATCACTCCTCTGCTGACTTTCTCAAGAGCTTAGCTGTATCAAACTGAAATAAAACTGATAGCTTAGTGTTGGCCACAGAAGAGAGGCTATTAGAAATGCAACGGGCACAATCCGTGTCAATTTAGTTCTGTCACTTGCAGACCTGAGACCAAAATGAGCAGAGATAGCATCATCTGCATGCCCGCCCCGAAACTCCTTGTTTGCACCGCTGGATCAAGTCTGACAGAGCTGACACAGCAGTTCCAGCCCTATTCTTACTCTGTAGTGACAAGGCCTTGAACAAGCATCTAAGGCAAAGTTTCTGGGTGGAAATGCACTATCTTTGCTCTCAGGGCAAGACTGAGAGCAGACTGTCATGAGACTTAGACCTCAGGCCTTCTCAGTGTTCAGTCAGTCCCAAGGCATTCTTCTGAATAGCATCAAGACATCAAATGTCTAGTGAATTATTCAAGCTCTAATAAATACCCTTCAAAATTTAAAATATGTTTTAAAATAGTCTTACTTTCACACGGTTTAACAGCACTGTAAGCAGTCTGACAGACTCCACTCTTCTCTGAGCTAGCAGGGATTTCCTTTCTTCCCATTCAGGCATATTCTCTGGCCACTGCTGTTCTTCAGGTGGTACCTTCTGCTGCTTTTGGGGATGTTTCTCATCTCCATCTATCTGCCTCTCTTCTCTCCTCTCGAGCTTAGCTTTCTTTTTTCTCTCTTGAACTTCTTTTCATCACCACGTCTTTTTCTAGGCAATTATCAATATGGGACAATTTAGATGACACTTGTTTTACATTTTGACTCCTGGGGAATTGGATGCGAGTCTTTGAAGTGCTAATAACAAGCAACCAGTTGCCAAGAATCCACACGTGCCTAACAAAAATCCTGTTTGTTAGAATAACATGTTTAAAAAAACATGGTACATAGATGACATGCATCCAACTGATGCATACATTTAGAAAGTTCTTTGTCTCTTCAAATGTTTTTTGTTCTAGGGTTTTCTTTCTAAGCACTGCCAAGACAGCAGATTCACATCATTGTCTCCAAGGACACAACTAGAGACGGATCATTTGGATCTAATTCTTCAGTTACCAAATCTCCCCTACAGATTAGCATGAGGGTCCCATTTAAGAGCTATTACAAGACTATTTCTGCTGTTCTAAAAATTAAAGTTGAAGCTGTGTGCTGGTTTTGGCTGGGGTACAGTTAACTTTCTTCACAGTAGCTGGTATGGGGCTGTGTTTTGGATTTGTGCTGGAAACAGCATTGATAACACAGGGATGGTTTCGTTACTGCTGAGCAGTGCTGACACAGAGTCAAGGCCTTTTCTGCTTCTCACCCCACCCCACCAGCGAGGAGGCTGGGGGGCACAAGGAGCTGGGAGGGGACACGGCTGGGACAGCTGACCCCAACTGACCAAAGGGCTATCCCACACCGTATGGCGTCATGCTCAGCATATAGAGCTGGGGGAAGAAGGAGGAAGGGGGGGATGTTCGGAGTGATGGCGTTTGTCTCCCCAAGTAACCGTTACACGTGATGGAGCCCTGCTTTCCTGGGGATGGCTGAACACCTGCCTGCCGATGGGAAGGAGTGAATGAATACCTTGCTTTGCTTTGCTTATGTGTGCGGCTTTTGCTTTACCTATTGAACTGTCTTTATCTCAACCCACGAGTGTTCTCACTTTTACCCTTACAACGAAGTGTTCACAAAAATAAGTGTTTAAAAAAATTTTTTTAAAGTATTTGAATATGAAGGTATTAACGATGGAAGCATAGCAATGTTTCCAGAGTCGCATTAGAGTTGCTATGCTCCGCAACTGGGAGGCACCTAGAAATGTACATCACATTAATTTTACTCCAAGGCATAAAGACATTAACTTGTGATGTTGCAGCACAGAGCAATGCAAAAAGCCCACATGCAGAATCTTAAGCCATCAAGCCTCAGAGCAATTTGAGAGCAATAGCTCTGATTTCACTCCAGGCCCACAGAATAATCCACTCTGAAAGGGACCTCAGGATGTCTCTAGTCCAACCTTTCTCATAACCCAGACCCCTCCATCTGATGCCTTACACAGAGAATTATCATGATGCTTTTCTTTCCAACAGTAACACATAAATTAAAAACTACATGGTATTGCTTCAAGTTCTCTGACTCCTCTTTCCTCAAAGCCTGGATTTTTACCGTAGTCACTGGTATGAGATAGCGTAACAAATCTCAAGAAAATGGGACATTCTCTAAAAATACACTCTCACCTTTCAACCCCCTGTCTTTTTTTCCCCCTTTTTCGAACGTGCTCCTGTTCTTGCAGCTTTAGTCTTTCCAGGCTTCTCTTTCTTATGGCTCCTCCACTAAAATGTCTGGTTGTATCAAAAGTCACCTGTCACAGAAGAAGCAGAATCAGACTTAGCAGTCCAGTTTGACGTGTATTTATACGAACGCAGACACCTTGCTGAGCAAATGAGAGACCCCACGTGACTACCAAATACTACTACACTGGTGAGAATGCCTCTCTCTACCCTGGCATATTAGAACATCTCTTCTGAAGTTCTCGCTGGGTTGTCAGTCAAGCTCAAACACCCCACTCCCAAGTGACTCGCCCTGCTGCGACATCAGGGGCTCACAATCTGACATCATACCTTTGGCCAAACCCGTTCCTGGCATGCTCTTCTGGGGACTCAAAGTTCAGTATGTTCAGCAGAGCATGCCTAGCTGCAGGATTCGTGAACTAGAGTTCAGCCACTCTCAGAGCAACACCTTTTGGATCAAATGCTTGCTTGCTTAAAAATTGATGAATGTTGTTAATGTGTGCTGCATTTAATCAGCTCCAAATGCCCAGATGTGAGCACATGAAAAGAAAACACTCAAGCAAATTGCATCATGCTCTATCTACACTGAAAAAATAAGTAATATGAAGCGTTATTTCCAGCACAGAGGTATATTTTAGGGTCACAGTTTAGAAATCACCTGCTGGGAAAAAATATCAAAACAGGGTACACCCTAGTAAGTACTTATGGAGATAAGCTATTAGGCTGCTGAAATTATGCTTACAGATTGCAAGTTTTCTTTTATAACGCCACACTAAGCATAGCACTTAAATGGATTCATCCCTCAACATACTTAAGTAAAAGAGTACAGAGGAGAGAAAGGGCACCCTTTACTAGCCAAGAATGACCTCAATTAGAGCAGCTGCTGCACCTACTTCATGCTTAACAATATGAAACCAAGTATTTTTCAAAGAGTCTCACCCGCTCCTGAGATCATCTCCCAGTTTCGGTGCCAACCACACTGAAAATATTTACAACTTTT